TCAGTAACTTAAGTAGTCAGTCCCTAGTGTGCTAGAATTTTTTGAAACTCAGAAGCCTCTGGCCCCTGTTGCTCTGTGACATCAGGAAGATGACTCAACAGCTGATGTCTCAGTTTCCCCATCTGTGAAATGGAGATAATAATAGAAACAGTAGCACCATTATTTTCGGCTAGTCTGAGGATTCAAAGGGTTGATATGGGTGACATGCCCCCATAAGATGCGTGGTGCTCAGTGGATGTTGACTATTATTGTTATTACATTTTCAACATGAAATCCCAAAAGACCAGATCTGAGAGCAGAGAGCAAAGGATCTTGGCATGAGAAGGAAGCCCAAGGATTCCCTGACAAAGTTTTCTCCTTGTGGAGCCACTGCTTGCTTACCTGCAGGGACAGGGAGCCCTCTCCTTATAAAGAGAGCCACGATGAAGCAGATCTAATTAGGAAACTTTCATACATGGAGAAAATCTTTTGCTCCCCAAGGATCCCCTGAATGGTGCCACTTTGCCCTTGGCTCTTGAGAGATCTGTGGACACTGACCCTCCTCCCCCCAAGATCAGCCCTGGTCTTAGCTTGAAAATGGAGCTGGGTGTAAAAGGAACCATCGGATTGTCAAGTGCTAAGCATTCTCTCTGTCAGTTCTTGCAGGTGGGACTGCCCTCTCTAACTGCCCCACTCATCAGTTAACCCCTCAGGGTTCAGCCAGTTTTGGGGGGGGGCTACTGGACACCCAGCCTAATCTCTCATGTCAGTGGGGCTGGTGTGTGGGGCTAGTGTCTAGGCTGGAATCAAGGTGAGAAGCTCACCCGGTGTGGGCACTAGGTGGGCTGAGGTTTCCCTGTTCTGGAGGTTGGAAGTCTGAGATCAAGGTGTTGGTTGAGTTGGTTCCTTCTGAGACTGTGGAAGAGAATCTGATCCAGGCCCCTCTCCCAGCTTCTGGCAATCCTCACTGTTCCTCGGCTCAATGATACATCACCTGAATTTCTGCCTTTGTGTTCATGTGGTCTTCTCCCTGTGTGCATGTCTCTGTGTCCAGATTTCCTTCCTTGTATTAGGACACCAGTTCTATTGTAGGCTCACCCTAATCCAGTATGACCTCATCCTAACTAATTACATCTGCAATGACTCTATTTCCGAGTAAGGTCACATTCTGAGGTCCTAGAAGTTAGGACAACAACATATGAATTGAGGGGAGGGGGAACAATCCAAACCTATCAGGAACTGAAAAAGCAAGGTTCTGTTTATCCAGAAACAGGTAAACAGCACACATTTTCACCAACTAGAAAAGAAAAACTAAGGGTCCCAGAAAAGATTGGGCAAAGAGAACTGGGAATTATTTCAGCACCAGGGACAGAGGCTCGCGATTTGGTTGTTCTTCGCGCAGCAAAACTAAACTGACGCAGATGCTGATGGTTTTGAAGGTTGCTCCAGGGTTCCTCCTTACCCTCCCAGGGCCAAATACTCCATATTCTGCAGGCAGGGCTCCGCAGGCAAGAAAGGACCCAAAGAGGAAGGATTCTGCCCCTATTTTACATTTCCCTGCAGCTCGATTTCTTGCCAGCCATGCCTAATTTCTCGCAGGTTTTAGGGCTAGTTATTTTAACACCTCTCATCTCCCTGAAAACCTTTGGGGATTAAATTCAGAAAACAGAAACACACATCCACAGAAAAAAAGAATAGAAAAAATAGATCGTGGATTGGGAGAAGATATTTGCATCATACATAAACAAAAACGGATAAACACACTCAGTATATAAAGAACTTCTACAAAGCAACAAGGTGCCCGGCTTCATTAATAACTCCAGGAATGTATGTTCAAATCTTAAAGAAGTATAGTGGCACACCACCATTCTGACTCACATTTAAAATGCTGGAAAAACCTAGTTGGTGAGAAAGAAGCACTAATACGATTTTCAGACCCCACTGGTGAGAGTATTCATGGGTGCAACCCACTTTGAAAAACTATTTGAAACAAACGATTAAAGCTAAACATGTACCAACCTTATAGCAGCAAATCCCATTCCTGGATATGCCTTTGTGCATCAAAATATGCAAGAATGTTCCATAGCAGCTTTATTCATGATAGCCCCAAACAGTGAACAACACCCTAAATGCCATTCACAGGACAATGGATAACCATCTGTAGTATATTTATAGGATAAAATATTACACAGAAACAAAAAGGAATTAATGCCTTAGACACACAACACCCACTGTTGAGTGGAAGAAACCAGACACAAAAGTGGACATATGCTACGATTCCATTTACATAAGTTCAACACGGGGAAGCACTCAACTACATTGATTAGTGATGCATGTGGTGTGGGGAAACACAATGAAAGCAATGACCTGGTTATCACAAGGGCCAGGGTAGAGGTCACTTCTTGGGGATGAAAGGTTTTTGTAGGGTGGGAGGAATATGGGTCTTCTGGTGCCTGTCATGTTCTATTTCTGGATCTGTGAAATGATCACATGACTTTATAATTATTGGTTACATTATACATTTACATGTGCTGCACTTTTTTTGGGGGGGAAGGGAGGAGGTTTGTGATATATACCAATTATAATTTGTTATTGTGGTAAAATTTACCGTTTTACAGTGCACAGCTCAGTGGCATTATGCACATTTACATTGTTGTGCAACCATCACCACCATCCATCTCCCAGGACTTCCCAAACTGAAGCTCTGTCCCCATTAAACACGAACTTTTCATCCTCCTCCCCCAGCGCCTGGCACCCACCATTCTACTTTCTGTCTCTGGATTTGACTCCTTTAAAAACCTCATAAAGTGAAATCATACAGTATTTGTCCTTCTGTGTCTGGCTTATTTAACTGAGCATAATGTCCCTAGGTTCATAATGTGGTAGCATGGGTCAGAATTTCTTTTTTTTCTAAGGCTGAATAATATTTCATTGTACATATATCCCACATTTTGTTTATCCATTCATCTGTTGATGGATATTTGAGTTGCTTCTACCTTTTGGCCGGTGTGAATAATTCTGCTATGAACACAGGTGTGCACATATCTCTTTGAGTCCCTGTTTTTGATTCTTTTGCGTATCTACCCAGAAGTGGAATTGCTGGATCATATGGTAATTCTACGTTAAACTTTTTTGAGGAACTGCCAAACTGTATTCCACAGTGGTGGCACCATTTTACATTTTACAACTGTTTTTTAAAATGCTAGAAACTGTCTTCAGCTCTGCCTGGTGCCCCCCTTCCCAGGGTTCTAGGAGACCTCTCAGGCCTGGTGCCGGTACTCCTCCCCATCACCTGGCCCAGCTGGTGGGAGTAGCCATTGTGGTGAGCATAGCCCAGCAGGACTCAGTTTTAATTAGCTCCTGCCTGGGGCAGCATTGGGCACCCCAGAGCTGTTCCCAAGAGAGGCAGAGAGACAGGGAGCATGAGTGAGAGGAGCTGGGGGGGCCATACAGCCTCCAACAGCATCACAGGCAGTGTAAATAAAGTCCACAGAAATTAGAGAGGCAGAACCCAGCTCCAGGCCCAGACCCGTGTCCATCCCAGGGGACCTGACACCTGCTTGCAATGCACCCCCCCCCCCCCCCCCCGCAAACATCTTTCGAAATACCTTTGATCTCCTGGTTCTTTCTCCTTGCTTCTCTTTGTCTCTGTCTCAATGTTTCTTGCCTCTGGGACTCTCAAAGCCTGCACTGCCCCCCCCCCCAGCCCAGGATGTCCTCCAATCACACCCTGGCTTTGGACCCCTTCAGGCCAGCTCCGCCCCTGGCCTCTCCTGATTGGCCCTGCTCTTTGGCTTGAACCACACACCCTTTAGCTCCACAGACACCCCTTGGTTGGTCCATCTTAATGGCACTCTCTAACCATTCTCTTTGATGGGGGAAACTGAGGCAAAGATTGGGCAGCGCCCCATCCAAGACCACAGAGCATGTCAGTGGCAGAGCCCATTACTCCTCACCCCAGTGCTGGGACCTCTTCTGGCTGCTTGGAGCTGCTGGTGCCCTCCATGTCTTCCTCCCCATACCCCCATCGCAGGGCAGCAGCTCTGTCCACACACATTGCCAGCCCACTGTTCTGAGAATCTCTTCATCTCGTGTCAGCCACGACTTAATTAACAGCTGGTCTCCTCTCTTCCCTTCACTGATTCACTTTGGGAAGTGGCAGGGGCTGAACCACTACTAGTGCCCAAGGTGGCTTCGGGGTCCTCTTTTTTGTTGTTTTAATTGTAGTAAAATACACATAATATTAATATTACCATTTTAACCATTTTTCTCCTTTTTTCCTAAAATTAAAAAAAAATTTTTTTATTGGTTTTTAGTGAGAGAGGAAGGGAGAGGGAGAGAGAGATAGAAACATCGATGAGAGAGAACATCGACTGGCCGCCTCCTGCATGCCCCCCACTGGGGATCGGGCCCACAACCTGGGCATGAGCCCCGACTGGGAATCGAATCAGTGACCTCTTGGTGCATGGGTTGACGCTCAACTACTGAGCCACACTGGCTGGGCCTAAAATTTTTACTGTTGTAAAATGCATAGTGTTAATCTTACCATCTTAACCATTATGATAAGAACCACATAGTTCAGTGGCATTAAGTACATTCACATTGTTGTACAACTATCACCACCATCCTTCCCTAGGGCTTCTCAAACTGAAGCTCTGTCCCCATTAAACACTAACTTTTCATCCCCCTGCCCCCCACCATTCTCTTGTCTGTCTCTATGAATTTGTTTTTTCTGGGTACTTTCTATGAGTGGACTTATTCCACATTTGTCCTTTTGTGTCTGGCTTATTTCACTGAGCAAACTGTCCTCAAGGTCCATCCATGTCATAGCAGGTGTAAGGATTTCCTTCTTTTAAAGAGTGAATAATATTCCACTGCGTGGATGGACCACACTGTTTGTCCATTCATCCATCCACTGACAATTGGGTTGTTTCCAGTTGTTGACTATAGTGAATTATGCTGCTGTGAACATGGGTGTACAGCATCCTTTTCTCTTAACTCCTCCATTCTCTTCCCTCTAGGCTGTGCCTTTCTCACTTACTGTGCCAGGGACTCTGCCATCAAAGCTCAGACTGCTCTGCACGAACAGAAGACCTTGCCCGGGGTGAGTCTGGGTGTTGTGTTGTCTGGGGAGGGGAGAGGATGGAGGGGCCACTCTCAGCCCAGGGAAGGCCAAGGTCCTTTTTGGAATTAGCAGTGAAGCCCATGTGTCTCTGGACTCAGAAGGAGACATAAGATTCAGAGGCACAGAAATGATAATCAGAGTGAGCATTTATTGAGTGCCTACTGCATATTGGACCCTAAGTGTCACACCAGGGTGGTTGTGCATGGTTATGCAGGTGGCACCTGGCTGAGGGTGCTAGTGTCATTGGCCTGAGATCTGAAGATGAGGAAGCATTAGCAGGCAGAGGGAATAGCACATGCAAAGGCCCTGAGGCAGAACTGGGCCTGGTGTGTCGGAAGCAAATAGAGCTACAGCCTCTTGATGCAAGGGTTGCCTGGGCAGTATTTCCACCCCCAGGAGAGGCTGGCCCAGGCTCTGTTCCTGCCAGGTCTCTCTTTTTGGCCCTGTCCTTTTTGGGTGGGCTGGAGGTCCCTGCCCCAGTGAAGGATAGAGGTCCCCTGAACCAAGTAAGCCTAGTCTCCAGGCAGCACCTCCTGATGGAAAGCGAAAAAACCACAGTGAGATTCGTGACTCTGGGGGTGGGTCTTGCCCTTCCTTCTGGAATTCTGAGGGACCCGTCAGCAACAAAGGCATTCAGGAGCTGCTTGGGGCATCAGTAGCCATCAATGCTGGGACCAGGAAGTCTGGGGTGTGCCTGCCCAGAGGGTTCTAGATGAACCAGGTGGTTAGGGAAGGTCTCTCTGAGGAGGTGACTTGATGACCTGATGGAGGTGAGGGAAGGAGCCACGCACTATCTGCAGGAAGGGCAGCCCAGGTAGAGGACACAGCCAGTGCAAAGGCCCTGAGGCTGGACCAAACTCAATGAGTTTGAGGAGCAGCAAGGAGGTCAGCAGAGTGAAGCCATGAGAGTGGGGTGGGGATAGAGGGGTGGGGGGTGGAAGGAGGGTGGGGAAGAGGAAAGGGGCAGGATCATGTGAGGAGTTTGGATTTTATTACAAGGGTGGCTGAGGCCATGGAAGGGTGGCAAGCAGAGGAATGACCTGGTTTGAATTCAATTTTCAAAATCCTCCTTCCAACTACTGCAGTCCTGGGGCTGCTTAACAAAGCACTGCTAACCAGAGGGCTTAAAGCAACAGAAATATATTGTCTCACAGTTCTGTAGGCCAGAAATCTGAAATCAAGGTGACAGCAGGGCTGCACTCCCTCTGGGAGAATCCTTTCTATGACTCTCTCCCAGCTTCTGGTGGCTGCCAGAAGTTCCTTGGCTTCTAGACTCATTACTCCAATAATTCCTGCCACCATTGTCACATCCCCTTCTCCTCTGTGTGTACATCTCCCCAATGTCCCTCTGCCTTTCTCTTATAAGGACACCTGTCATTAGATTTAGGGCTCACCATAAATCCAAGATGACCTCATCTGTCACTTAATTCCATTCGTAAAGACCCCTTTTCCAAATAAGGTCTTATTTCATTCACAGGTTCTAGGGGTTAGAACTTAGACATATTTTAGGGGGGGGGCACCATTCAACCCTCTACAGAGGGTTACCACAAAGTAAACGGCCAGACGTAAGGGTGACTGGGGCAGTATCATCAGGGAAAACCAGCTGACCTGCGCAGACGTAGTAAAGAGCAAACAGGATGGCTTCTTGGGGGAGGGAGCTTTTGAGCTGAGTCTTGAGAGATGGGGAGGATTGTGGCAGACAGAGGTGAAGATAGGGGTGGTGTTTACCAAGAGTTTACCAAGACTCAGAGGCAGGAACGTGCCTGGTGTGTTGTTGAGAATACATGAGAGCCTGTGTTGTCTAACAAAAGAGTTTACGTTAAGTTAGGAGAAATTTTCAACCCAGAGTGATTCTGCTCCTGGGGGACAGTGGGAAATATCTGGGGATATTTGTCATTGTCAAGACTGGAAGATGCTGTGGATAGAGACTAGGTATTCTGCTCAACACCCTACAGAGCACAAGATGTCCCCCCACAACAAAGAAGTATCCACTCCAAATCCCAGGTGGATAAATCCTGGTTGGGAGAATAAGGAGCTGGTGAGCAGCACTAATAGAAACATAATTCGAGCATTTAAATGTTCTAGTAGCAATGTTTAAAAAGGAAAAAGAAACAAGTGAAATTAATTTTAGTGCTATATTTCATTTTAACCCCAAATCTCTAGAATCTTATTATTTCAATAGGCAGTCAATATAGTTTATTAACTATAATTAAGTAAACTTTAAAATCCCATTCCCCAGTCACACGAGTCACACAGTTTAAGGGCTCCACAGCCACATGTGGCTGGTGGCTGTTACATTGGACAGTATAGTTCTAACATGTTCTAAGCCCAGGATCAGCAAACTTCCCCCCCCCCCTTTATTGATTTTAGAGAGGGAGGAAGTGAAAGGGAGAGAGAGAGAGAAACACCGATGAGAGAGAATATCAACTGCCCGCCTCCTGCATGCCCCCCACTAGGGATTTGGTCCACAACCTGGGCATGTGCCCTGACCGGGAATTGAACCAGCGACCTCTCGATGTTGATGCTCAACTATTGAGCCACACCAGCTGGACAGCAAACTTTTTATGTCAAGGATCAGAGAGTACATATTTTTTTGCTTTGCCAGTCATATGGCCACTGTCACTACATAAAAGCCTCAGACAACTTGTAAATGAATGGGTGTGGCTGTGTGCTAATAAAACTTTATTTACAAAAACAGACATGGGTCTCAAAATAAGGCTGTAATTTGTCAAGCCCCAGTCTAGACCATTGCTATCCAACAGAACTTTCTCCAATATGGTGGCCACTAGGTCTATGCAGCTATTGAGCTTTAAAATGTGACAAGTATGACTCAGGAACTGAATTTTTAATGTTATTTAATTTTAATAAATGTACATTTAAACTTAAATGACTACATGTGGCTAGTGTTTACCACATTGAATACCTCAAATCTAGAATGTTCTACATCAGGGGTTAGCTACAGTGTTAGACAGCACAGATCTAGAATGTTCTAAACTGGGCCAGCTACTGTATTGGAGAGTGCAGACCTAAAATATTTTAGACAAGGAGCCAACTATCATATTGAACAGTTCAGTCCTAGAATATTCTAGACCAGGGGTCAGCTGCCATATTGGATAGCACAGACTAGAATGTTTTAGACCCAGGAACATGATGCAGTATCATTAAATATCTAGATTGCAAGGTTTGAGGTCTCTCTTTTTTATTTTTTCTATCCTCATTTTTCTGCATTTATCTTCAGATAGAGCGGAAGGGAGAGAGAAAGAAAGAAACATCCATGTGAGAGAGACGCATCAACTGGTTGCCACCCACATGACCCCAACTGGGGCCGGGGACGAACCACAATGGAGGTACATGCCCTTAGCGGGAACTGAACCCGGGACTCTCTGGTCTGCGAGCTGATGCTCTAACCGCTGAGCCAAACTGGCCAGGGCGAGGTCTCTCTTTGATACCAGTTCACAGTTGGGTAATAAGTGGTCTCAGGTAATACCCTCTCCGCCCTGGGCTTCAGTTTCCCAGCCTCCACATGGGGTCCGAGGTGCGAATTATCACCATCGCCCAGCACTGCTGAGGCCCCTCATCTAAATGCAATGTCCACCATGGGGGCTGGGGACTGTGAGTAAGAGAGATGGGACTCATGTGAGGTCACCCAGCAGGATGAGGACTGCAGCTGTATCCACCCCACTCCACAGGCCTTAAGCCTCTGTCTTGTCTGGTTCAGTTTTCTGCAAGCTGGTCCCTACCCTACTGGAGATGAGGGCCGATGGATGGTAAATAAGGGGGAGGTAGTTCAGAGTTGGACCTCTGGGGACCACCTCCAGGCCTGGGCAGCATCCTTTGGGAGTACAACCTGATTTTTAAAAATTTTTTCTTAAAGTTTGCAAAATACTACACACTTAGAGAAAAGTGCATTCAACACAAATAATTATAAAGCAAATATCCTCCATTATTATTATACAGTCGGCACCCCAGAAACCCCCATCTCATGTCCCCAAGCCCAGCCTCTCTCTTCTTGTTGGAAGAGCCACTATTCTGACTTTTATGGTACCCAACTCCTGCTTTTCTCCAGGGTCTCAGCACTTACAAGTGCATTTATAATATATTAAATGGCTTTTGCCTGTTTTCCTTTTAACTCAATATGAATGAAATAATATAATATATAGGCTTTTCCATATTCATTTTTTCTACATAATATGATGCTAATGAGAATCAACATCGCATGCATCTGTAATTGGTACTTTTTCACTGCCATGTAGTATTCCACAGCATGAATACACAGTTTATTTGTTTATCCTCCTGTTGGTGGACATTTGTGGTTATTCCAGTTTTTGCTGTTCCAAGTAGATGTTCTTGTCCGTGTTTTGGTTCTGGTGAGCATGTGCCGCATTTCAGTTGGGCACATACCTGGGAGTTCTGATCCCTAAGTGTGTGTATCTTTGGCTTCTGATTAGTGAAGGGGTTGACTTTACTGGCAAGCCGCCCTTTCCCGAGGACACCAACAGACTTTCAGAACGAGAGCTGGAGGCTCATTCACAGATTGCATGGATGTGGAGGGGTGCTACTGGGCAGAAGGCCCCCCTCACCTGTCAGCAGCAGCATCTGAGCACCGAAGTCTGAGCCCCCCTCTCACTTGTGCTGGGAAAAGCCACCCTGACGACTCCTGTGCCTGCACATGCTTGCAAGCACTGCCAGGGAGTTAGGGGTCAGAGCTGTCACTCTAGAGATCAAGAAAGCCACCATCTCTCCTGTCCCCTGCACCCCCCCCCCAAACCTGTGTGTTTAGGGGAAGGCAATGTGGAGTGGACATTTCTGTCTTTTTATCTCTTGATAAACCAGGAAGAGAGTGACCTGGGTCATTTTCTGGCCCTGTGTCCCCCATCAATGGCACAGCTGAGTTCCCCCACCCCTAATGCTTCTTTCTGAAGCAAGAATGACCCTTCTTTCTGAAGCAAGAATGACCCCTCTTTCCAGTTCCCTCTTTG